TTCACTAAACTCTGCCATCCCCAGGATATTTTTTTTAAATCTTATATCTCTTTTTTTTCTCACCCAAACACCTGAAAAAGCTATCTACACTCACTGCTTTCACTTCCTCTCCTCTGTCTCACTTCTCAACCTTTGAAGCAATCTGACTTCTAAACTCACTATTCAAATCAAACTGCTCTCTCTAAAGTTACCAATGATCTCATAATAGTCAAATCTGATAATAACCTATCCATGGACCACCCCCACCCCCACCATAAAGAGATTACAGGGAGTCTGTGAATTTAGATGGGAAAAAAATACATCTTTACTTCAATATAATTGTGTTCCTTTGTAATCCTATGTATTTTATTTTCTGCATTTAAGAACATTATTCTAAGAAGGGATCTATAGATTTCACAATATTGCCAAATGGGTCTAGACCCCAAAAGAGTTGGGCATCTCCAATCTTGTTCCAGAAATACCTGCTGCACATGACACTGTGGACCACCCTTTCCTTCTGGGCAGTCTCTCTTCTGTGGATTTTCAAGATGCTGCTGTCTCCTGGTTGTCTCCCATCTAACTTTTCAACCTCCTTTACTGGCTTATGATCCATATTACACCCCCTAATTTTGGTTGTTCCCTAGAGTTCTTTTCTCTCCACACATATTCTATCTTAGTAACCTCATCAGCTTCCATGGGTTTAACTACCATCTCTAAGAGAATGACTCCCAAATCTATATATCCAGCCCCAGGCTCTCCCCTGAGCTTTGGTCTCAAATCACCAGTTGCCTATTGGACATATCAAAATAGATGTCCCAGAAACATCTCAAACTCAACATAGCTAAAGCCAAACTCATTAGCTTTATACCTCTCTTCCAAACTTCCCTATTTCTGTCAAAGGCATCACCATTCTTCCAGTCACCCAGGTTTGTAACCTCGGCTTTATCCTGGATTCCTCACTTGCCTGCACCTCACATGTCCAACCAGTTTCCAAATCTTGCAGTTTCTATCTCTATATCATTTCTCACTCATAAGCCCTTCCTTACACTCACACAGTTAGCCCAGTTAGATCCATATTACCTCTCATCTAGATTATTGTAACAGCCTCCTAAATTAGCCTCCACTTTCTCACCAATTCACTCCATCTTCCCCACTGCTGTCAGAGTGATTTTCCTTAAGCATGAATTTGGCCACATCACTTTCTGACTCAATCAATTCCAATAGTTTCCTTTTGCTTCTAGGATAAAATCTAAACTCTTCTATTTAGCTTTTTAAGCTCCTGACAAGGGGCCCCCAACTATTTTTCCAGCCTTAAGACATTACTCTCCCTCCTACATTCTGTGATTCTGCCATATTGGCCTTTCTCTCTGTTCCACATACATTCCATCTCCTGACTTCATGCCTTAGGCCAGGGTTGGGGAACCTTTGGCCTCAAGGCCACATGTGGCCTTCTAGGTCTTTGGGTGTGGCCTTTTGACTGAGTCCAAGTTTTACAGAACGAATCTTTTTATTAAGGGGATTTGTTCTGTGAAGTTTTGATCCAGTCAAAGGGCCGCACTTGAGAACCTAGAGGGCCACATGTGACCTTGAGGCCACAGGTTTCCCACCCCTGCTTCAGACTGTCCCTACCTTCTTTTAATATTCAGCTCAAGCATCATCTTCTACATGGTCTTTCCTGATCTTCTCCCTCCCAAACTACCCTGTATTTAACTGCTTTGCATGTATTTACATTTATTCACTTTCTATTCACTCTGTATATATTTACAGACATAGTTGTCTTCTCCATTAGAACATAAGCTGGTTGCTAGTAGAGATTATTCTCAGCATCTTGCCCCTTTCAGCTTCTTTTTCCTCTCCTTTACCCTCCCAACTTTCCTCTCCTTTTCCAACCTCTCCCTACTCATTCCTCCTTCTGAGCTCTCCTCTCCACAAAAAGGCTCATCCATAGGCCTCAGGCTGGGATATGTCCTAAAAAGGACAGACTTGAGGGAGTTTCAGGGTTGGGACAGGAAGGGGCCTAACTATATTCTCTGGGTACATCTCAGTGAGGAGTTCAGAAACCTTACCATTTCCAGGGTTTGGCACCCCAGACATGGGTAACACGTTCCCATACTGACTCTGGGCCTCATTCCCTGGAGACATCACTCTGAAGAACCTGATCCCAGAAAGAGAGGTGATAGAGAAACTGGAACACAAAACTAAGGGGCTATGGAACAACTAAGGGGTAGGGGAAACAGAAAGGGGCCTGAGGACTGGGAAGTATAAAAAGAGCACTGAACTTGGAGTCAAAACCCTTGAATTTAAATCCTGGTTCCCACATTTACTAACTGTGTGGCCTTGGGCAAATCCCTTAACTTCTTTGAGCCTCAGTTTCCTTATCTGTAAAATAAGGAAAATAATATTTATACTACCATCTCATAGGTTTATTGTGAGGAAAACTCACAAAAAGACTTTTAGAAATATGAATTACTGCTATTGGCTGATATGGAAGAAACGAGGGGATGGGGGAGAAAAACCTTAGTCCCAGGATGGGGTAGGGGTGCTGATTTGGGATGACGTTCAAGGGGACTAAGATTTCTCCAGATTGAGTTTTCTTACCTCCTGGTGCGATCAGTCATCCGCTTCTTTTTTCTCCGTAAGAGCAGGGCTAGCCAGGAGTCAGAGGAGGGTTTGGATTGGGATCAGTCAGAAAGGCTGGAATTGGGGAGGGAGGCTAAACATAGACAAGACACAGGTATGGGGCAGGAGGTTGCCAGCATAGAGGCCATTCCTTCAGGAAGTCCAAATTGAGATTAGGATGGAGTGGGGGCCAAGACCAGGGACAGAGGCAAGGGAGAAGGAGGTAGTCCCTCACCTTTCTTAACTTGGAGGAACCCAACCAGGGTACCCAGACAGAAGGACACATAGGTCAGAGTAACAACTGGAATCTTCCAGGCTCCAGTCCCCAAAAGCCAACGCCATACTGCAGAGGGATGAGAAGAACTATGAGATGGGGGAATCTTCCTCTTCCCTCTTTCAACCTTCAGAGATAAGTACTAAACTGTGAGATAGGGCATCCCTATACACTCTCACATTCAAACCCCTCAAACTGCTCCAAGAAGAAAGAAGACTAGATCTTTCAGCTTTGACCCCCAAGAGAAAGCTGTAGAGGACATGACTCTTCCTACCTGACTGTGAGATGACTTTCAGCTCGATGCTGATGGTGAGGTTGCCACTTTTACAGAGGTAGGTACCAGCATCCTGGGGAACAGCCTGGGGCAGAATTAGAAGGGCACCTTCTCCTTGAGTGCCCATAACCCAGAACTCTCGGGCTAGGAGGCCCTTTCCCAGTTCCAGGCTCAGGAGTGAAGTATTTTTCCCAGGGCGCCAGTGAACCCATGATGTGGAGCCCCAGGTCAGGGAAGATGGAGACTGTTCACAGGACAGCCAGAGGGGAGATCCCGGCGCCAGAGTCAGCTCCAATTCTGGGGGAGAAAGACCACAGTTCAATTTATTAATTTATTAATTCACAGAATCTTAGAGTTGGAAGAGACCTCCACTTTCACAACTCATGCCTGACTAAGAATCTTCTTGACATGGTCATCCAGCCTTCAATCAAGGATCTCAGAGGATTGGAGAAGTGTGGAAGATTACAGACTAAGTAGTCATGAGGAAGTCCAGCTTCCTTTCTTCACCTTCAAATGGCAACAAGTATTCCAAATAGAGTAAAAGAATAACAGAGAAGGGGGAGGGAAAAAAAGGAAAGAAATTCAGACAAGAAGACTAGGATAGGATCACGGACTGAAAGCTGGAAGGTCAATTTAAAGATGTAGAAACTGAGGGTCACAGAGGTGCAGTGATTTACCCAGGCTCACAGAGCTAGTGAGTGTCAGAGGTGAGATTTGAACCCAGGTGTTCCTAGTTTCAATTTCAGCACTCTATCCACTATACCACACTGCTTACCTTCAATTAATCAATAAACATTTATTAAGTGCCTAAAGAAAGATTCAAAGAGTAACTGAGAATGAGCCCAAAAAAGTTCTTCAAACAATGAGTACATGAATATATATTATTTGTTGCATAAAGAAAAGTAAGTAGAAATCTCCAGAAAAAAAAAACACATTTGAAAGCAAAAAATTATGTAAAATTATGTTAATAAGAGAAATGAAGAAATACCTGGTGTGTATAAAAATGAACATCAAATAAACAAAAACATAAAAAGTTGAACAAGAAACTCAAATGTTTAGAAAAAAACAGTGGAAAATGTTAATAAATTAGCAGCTAGGTGGCACAGTACATAGAGTGCTGCGCCTGGAATCAGGAAGACAAGAGCTCAAATCCAGCCTCAGATCTTTACTAGCTGTATGACTCTGGACAAGTTACTTAACCTGTTTGCCTTGGTTTCCTCAATTGTTAAAAGGGGATAATAATAGCACCTATCAGGAAGGGTTGTTGTGAGGATCAAACGAAATAGAGCAAAACAAAAATAATAATTCAAGGGACTAGAATACGGTGTATTATGCTTTGCCAAATCAAAAAAAAAAAAAAGCAAGAGTTGCAAACATGATATTAGATAAGGCAGAAGTGAAAATAGGTTCTATCAAGACGGATAAACAGACAAACTACCTTATGCTTAAAGGCACCATACATATTCTATACTCATGGACTAAAAGACCTACTGAGAACATGAGGGAAAAACTAACTGAAACACAAAAAATAACTAAACAATAATGCACTGATAGGAAATTTTGATGTTTTTCCTTCAAAATTTGATGAATCTAACAAAAAGAAAAAAGAAAAAAATTACAAAATCAATATAAATTTGATAGACTTAAGAGTATCACATGAGAACTGAAAGAGCATGCTAATTTTTTGCAGACACATAGAACCTTCATTCAAAAAAAAGAACATAGCCTAAGGCATAAAGAACTCATAAATAAATACAAAAAGGAGGAAATTTTATTAAACCATATTTATAGATCATAATGCCATAAAAATAGTAATCAATGAGGAAAATATGAACAAAAGAGGCAGAACTAAATGGAAACTAAAAATTACATCCTAAGTAATGAGTGGGTCAAAGACTGAACCATAGAAAAAAAAGTGTGTTTGTGTGTGTGTGTGTGTGTGTGTATATATATATATATGTGTGTGTGTGTATACATATCTACACATATACATATCTATATATGTATATGTTTAAGAGTAATATTAGTGACACAACATAGAAAAACTTATATGATGCAGCTAAAGCAGTCAGTGGCAGATTTAAATATCTGAACACTTATATTTATAAAAGAGAAAAATAGAGGACTGATGAACTGGTCACACAAATTAGAAAACCAAAAAACTAATGATCCCAATACAAGCACAAAAGAAGAAATTTTGAGAGTTTCTAAATACATATTTTTAATCGAACTAATAAACAAAACAAAGAGCTGGCTTTAAAAAAAAACAATAAAATTGATCAACAATCAACTAATTTGATTTTTTTTAAGAAAAAAGGAAAGGAAAACAAAATTACCAAAATCTAAAATGAGATGGGAAGATAACAATTAATAGAGTGAAAACAAAGAAAATTATCTGAGACTTGAACATCTAGTTGTTTTTGTTTATTTATACCTGTAATTTCATTTTTGTAGGGAACCCCCCAGTATGGGAAACTCCCTCTACCAATGCATATCAGCAATTCCTGTAATATATTCTTATAGATTTGCTTAGAGACATTAAGAAGTTTCTTGCCCATGACCACATAGTCAGTATATGCCAAAGGCAGGCCTTGAACCCAGATATTCTTGGCTCCAAGGCCAATTCTCTTTAGTACTCAACACTGCCTCTTGTATTCAGTTATATGCCAATAAAATTGAAAGTCTAAATAAAACAGATTGATATCTACAAAAATATAAAATTCTGTGACAAGGCAAACAGGAAATAGATAACACAATCTCAAAATGAGAAATTAAGCAAGTCATAAATGAACCGCCACAGAAAAAAAAAATTTCCAGAACCAGACTGATTCACATGTACATTCTAGCAAATATTTAAAGATCAAATAATCCCCATGCTATGTAAACTACTTTCAAAAATAGTGAAAGAAGGCACCCTACCAAATTAGTTCTATGACACAAACATGGTCCTGATACCCAAACCAGGGAAGGAAAAAGCAGAAAAACAGAATAATAGATCATTATCACTAATTAATATTGATAGTGGGTCCAACACCACTCACTACATTAGGGGTACAAGCATGGTTCAATAGGAGGAAAATAAATAGCATAATAAATCACAGCAATAATGTCCTCGGGGTTGATTGGGGTGGGGGTGGGGGGGGTGGGGGGGGTGGTCAGGGCTTAATTTGATAATCCCTGCCCCTAATCAACTTGCTGAAAGTAGTTTGGACCTTTGTTGGAAGGGGGTCTCCTTTTCATGGAGTTAAATCTGTGCCCTAGGCCATTGCAGAGAGGACACTGGGGACTCCTCTGGTGATTCCAAGAACTGGGGATGCCTCTTGATGACTGGTTGATGGAAGCTTGAGAAAACAGACTCTTGTCAGTGGAGACTTTCCCTCTGTGGTCCATAGGAATGAGCTATGAAACAACCCATCTCTTTCTACTCTTTTTTGTTTTACATGGTGGAGTTTTTTTTCTCTTTGTTTTAGATTTCCCTTTCCCCTCACCCCCAGGAGCAGAAAATGGCAACTTTCAATATAAGCACATGACAAGCAGGTGAGCCTATGAGGGGGATTTTTGAACTTCTAGTTCCATACCACCTTCAGCCTTTCTGTTTCACTTTCTGAGCACAAGTCAGAGATTAACAATCCTGACAATAGATATTTCCAGACCTGGAGATTATTACCTCATGGCTAATTCTGACTTCCAAAGTTCATGAATTTGAGAGTCAGGCACTGGCCTCCCATAGGGAGATCTCCTTAACTGCCCACTTCTCAGAAAAGAAGAGAATTCAGCAGCTAAAGGAGTAAAGTCACACCAGATCTGGGCCATGCCAACCTTCCATGATATTTTTGGGAGTTGCTCAGAGCAAATCTGAAGTAAATGGACAACATTTGTTCCCCAGTCCCCCAAAATATCTTTACTTTCTGGGAGGAGTCTAATTAGCTATATGATTGTTTTATGTTTCCTGTATTTTCTCACAGATGAAAAAATTAATAAATAAATAATAAATTTTCTCACAGTCTTTTGTTATGGTGGGTGATATGAAGGGTGTTCTATTTGCTATAATGTCTATTGATGAAAGTATAGGAGTTGGGAAGCCTATTACCCACTTTAGGGGAAACAAGCCATATCTAAACTTTGTTCTGGAGATTTCCCTGAGTTTTACACTTTGGTTGGGGTATAACAAGTCAAAAAGAAAAACTTATCTCTTTGGGGTCAGGTCCCCAGGATTGAGGCCAGTGTGTGTAAACCCAGTCTTTGGAGGAACCCTGAGCCATGAGTGACAAAAACAAACAAAAAGAAGAAAACTACATAATTGTATCACTAGATGCAGGAAAAGCCTTCAGCAAAGTACAGTACTCATTTATATTAAAATACTAAAAAAAATAGTAATGGAAGAATCTTTCCTCAATATGATTTTTTAATTGGCTAAAACTAAGAGATACCATTGTATTATAGTGGAGAAACACTAAAAATTGTCTGCCGTTACCATTATTATTGGATATAATACTATAAAATGTTGGCTATAGCAATAAGACAACAAAAAGAAATTAGTGAAATAAACATTGACAAAGCAGAGGCAAAAAAAAAAAGCCTATCTGAGAATAAGATAATAGTTTATTTAGGAAAACCCTTGAAAATGATCATAAGTTTAATTGAGATAATAGTTTCAGCAAAGAAACACAATACAAAATAAATCTATAAAAATAATCGGTATTTCTACATATTACTAAAAATCAACAGGAGAAATGGATAGAAAACAACAAACCTTAAAATAACAACTACATTCAATACCTCAGAGCTAACCAACTAGGATACAACTAGCACTTGTATAAATGTAACCATAAAATAATTTATATAAATGTAGCCCCTGCTATGACAGTAGATCTTTCCTCCATGTTATCTCTCATCTCCACACTGAATGAGGAATGAAAGGAAATATATGGACCTGAAAATAAAGGAAATAATGTGAATTTTAATGTTGAGTGGGGTTCTTTAAAAAAAAAAACAAAAAACCACAAGGTGTTTAGTGGTCTGACAGGGCTAGACCACCAACCAAGACAGAGAAACCTCAGGTCAGATGTCACCCTTACCCCACTGAGAGAGGTGTATCTCTCTCTTGTGCATCTGAGGGTTTGAAACCTTGACCACGGGACACATGAGATGCCAGGGAGAGCTGTCAGATCTAAGTAAGACGACTAAGCAGAGATTCCAGGGGAAAGATTGAGATGGCTCCTGACCTGGACTAGTCTGAGGAAATGAGTCTAAATGAGAAAAGCAGGATTCAGGGAGATAGCATATTCCACCACTCT